GACAAAAGGTGATCCACTGGAGAAGGAAATGATAACCCACTCCAGTATCTTTGCCATGAAAACCCCATGGACAGTACCAAAAGGCAAAAAGATAAGATGCCAGAAGATGAGCCCCTCAGGTCGGAAGGTGTTCAATATGCTACTGGAGAAGAGCAGAGGGCTAGTACTAGTAGTGCCAGAAAGAATGAAGCGACTGGGTCAAAGCTGAAAGGACACTCGGCTGAAGATATATTTGGTGGTGAAAGGAGAGTCTGATGCTGCAAAGATCTATACTCCATAGGAACCTGGAACGTAAAATCCATGAATCAAGGCAAGCTGGATGTGGTCAAACAAGAGATGACAAGACTGAACATCAACATCTTAGGAATCAGTGAACTAAAATGGACAGGAATGGGTGAATTTAATTCAGATGACCATCAGGTATACTACTGCGGGCAAGAATCCCTCAGAAGAAATGGAGTAGCCTTCATAGTCAATAAAAGAGTAGGAAAAGCAGTAGGATACAATCTCCAAAATGACAGAATGATCTCGGTTCGAATCCAAGGCAAACCATTCAACATCACAATAGTCCAAGTCTGTGCCCCAACCACTGGTGCTGAAGAGGCTGAAGTTGACTGGTTCTATGAAGGCCTACAACACCTGCTAGAATTAACACCAAAAAATGATGTCCTTATCATCATGGGGGATTGGAATGCTAAAATAGGAAGCCAACAGATAACTAGAATAACAGGCAAGTTTGGCCTTGGAGTACAAAATGAAGCAGGGCACAGACTGGTAGAATTTTGTCAAGAGAATACTGAGGCTGACTGAGGAAGTTTTACAAATAGCTGAGGAAAGAAGGGAAGCAAAAGGCAAGGGAGAAAGAGAAAGATACACCCAATTGAATGCAGAATTCCAGAGAATAGCTAGAAGAGATAAGAATGCCTTCTTAAATAAACAGTGCAAAGAAATAGAAGAAAACAATAGAATAGGGAGGACCAGAGATCTCTTCAAGAAATTGGAGATATGAAGGGAATGTTTCACGCAAAGATGGGCATGATAAAGGACCAAAATGTCAGGGACCCAACAGAGGCAGAAGAGATTAAGAAGAGGTGGCAAGATTACACAGAAGAACTATACAAGAAAGAGCTTAACGTCCCTGATAACCATGATGGGGTGGTCACTGACTTCGAGCCAGACATCCTGGGATGTGAAGTCAAATGGGCCTTAGGAAGTCTGAGCAAAAACAAAGCTAGTGGAGGTGACTGCATTCCAGCTGAGCTATTCAAAATCTTAAAAGATGATGCAGTAAAAGTGCTACACTCAATATGCCAGCAAATTTGGAAAACTCAACTGTGGCCACAGGATTGGAAAAGGTCAGTTTACATTCTGATCCCAAAGAAGCGCAATGCCAAAGAATGTTCAAACTACCGCACCATTGCACTCATCTCACATGCTAGCAAAGTGATGCTCAAAATCCTGCAAGCTAGGCACCAGCAGTATGTGGACCGAGAACTACCAGAAACACAGGCAGGATTTCGAAGAGGGAGAGGAACTAGAGATCAAATTGCCAACATACGTTGGATCATGGAGAAAGCTAGGGAGTTCCAGAAAAACATTTACTTCTGTTTCACTGACTATGCTAAAGCCTTTGATTGTGTGGAACACAATAAACTGTGGCAAGTTCTTAAAGAGATGGGAGTACCTGACCATCTTATTTGTCTCTTGAGAAACCTGTATGCGGGTCAAGAAGCAACAGTGAGAACTGGACATGGAACCACTGATTGGTTCAGAATTGAGGAAGGAGTTCGGCAAGGCTGTATACTGTTGCCCTGCCTGTTTAACTTATATGCAGAGCAGATCATGAGAAAGGCGGGGCTAGATGAATCACCACTTGGAATTAAGATTGCTGGGAGAAATAACAACCTCAGATAAGCAGATGATACCACTCTAATGGCAGAAAATGAAGAGGAACTAAAGAGCCTCTTGATGCGGGTGAAGGGGGAGAGAGCAAAAGTTGGCCTGAAACCCAACATTAAGAAAACTAAGATCATGGCATCCGGTCCTCTCACTTCCTGGCAAATAGATGGGGAAGAAATGGAGGTAGTGACAGATTTTATTTTCCTGGGCTCCAAGATCACTGCAGATGGGGACTGCAGCCAAGAAATTAAAAGACGCTTGCTCCTGGGGAGGAGAGCTATGGCAAATCTAGACAGCATACTAAAAAGCAGAGACATCACCCTGCCAACAAAAGTGTGTATAGTCAAGGCTATGGTTTTCCCAGTTGCAATGTATGGCTGTGAAAGCTGGACCATAAGGAAGGCCGAGCGCTGAAGGATTGAGGCCTTTGAGTTGTAGTGCTGGAGGAGACTCCTGTGAGTCCCTTGGACTGCAAGGTGATCAAACCAGTCAGTCCTAGAGGAGATCAACCCTGACTGCTCTTTAGAAGGCCAGATCCTGAAGATGAAACTCAAATACTTTGGCCACCTAATGAGAAGGAAGGACTCCCTGGAGAAGAGCCTAATGTTGGGCACAACAGATGGCAAAAGAAGAAGGGGACGGCAGAGGATGAGGTGGCTAGATGGAGCCACTGAGGCAGTTGGTGTGAGCTTAGGTGGACTGTGGGAGATGGTGGAGGACAGGAAGATCTGGAGGAATGTTGTCCATGGGGTCGTGATGGGTCGGACACAACTTCACGACTAACAACAGCAGCTACCTATAATAGATTTTATGCAAAGTTTCTTTATACTAAGTTGCTAATGTTTCATCTAACTTAAGCATCACTTAATCAAATGCTATTAACTCCTTATAAAAGCCCCACTCTTTACAATCTTTAACATATCTCGACTGTATCTACACCTTATGTCACCAACAAAGAGAAAGATCAACTCCTTGTTCTTATATTTCTTAGCTCAATTTAGATCATGTGTTATAATCCCTTCAGAATTCAATGCATTTGGATACAGAGAAGCTTCCATGAGTAAAAAAAAAAAAAGAGAGAGAGAGAGAGAGGGAGAGAGAGGGAGAGAGAGAAAAGAAGACCATCTTAGTACAACTTTTCCTACACCAACATTAATAATTTTCTAGTATGGTAACATAAAGACAAAAGAATAATGTAACTTAGCCTTTCCATACCGCATATAAACATGCCAACCCATTTAAATCATTCCATTTAAGATAAAAAAATTCTTATTTCTTCTTTACACCCCTGCCCCCTCTCTCTTCCTTTGTTTTCAGTAGCTGTAGTGCTTGTTGTAAATCAGCATTCATTTCTGATGTGTCTGTATTTCTTGTTGCAAATCAATATTCACTATTTCTTCCTTTGTTTTCAGTAGCTGTAATGCTTGTTTTAAGTCAATATTCATTTCCAATGTCTGTATTTCTGGTTGCCAATCATACAGTTCTTCTGCCTTAAAAATTGTGTCCAGTTTGTATCTTATAACGTTCCCAGTAAGAAATGTTCCTTCTTTTGATAACCAGAATAGATTCTCTCTCTCTAATATAGCAAGCAACTTCCATGATAACTTAATTATTGACTTTGCTAAGTTTGTTTCTTGGTCCACCGTTTTAAATTTTTCATATGCTTGTTGTATTTTTTGTATATTCTGTTCAATTTTAAGATGTACATCTACCAAAGCCTCCTTAATAGAATTATCAAGTTTGTCAGATATTCTTTTTGTTCAATTGAAATGTTTTCCTGTTGTATTAACTTCGCCTCTTGGGATATTTGCAAAGCTGTTAAGGATTCCTGTATTGCCAGAAGCGTCGTCATTAGCTCTTCCGTAGTGGTAGTAATTTTCACCAAAGATTACAAGACAGCAGCGGAAAAAATATAGGAGAGAGTAAAAATACTTGCTATAAATCCAAATAGCCACCGGGTGGCAGCAAAGGGCGTTCTTTCTTTACAATTTTTACTAAGCAAAGAGAATGACTATTTCAATTTGGCAAGAGTCCAATTGTTTTTGGCAAGAGTCCAAGAAAGAGAGACAATGGCCGATCAGTGTAATTTTTATCTTCTGTCACGTTATTTCAAAGCAATTATTTATTCTAATTCTTCGCCCTTGGGGAGGTTAGAGAAAAAAGGTCTTTCTCTCAAGCCTCAAACTCTTGAAAAGAACTTCAACTCCTCTCCCCCAAATCAGTCACCGCTTAAAACTCCGTGGGGGGGGGGAATTCCTCCCTCCATCAAAGGGCTTCTTTCTTCTTTATGCCAAATTAGACACTGTTGCTGCACTTTCACGGGTAATATAGAAGAAAAAAAGATAAAAATGCTCACCCAGCAGTCCGATGAACTTTCAGCTAATTAACTATGCTACTGTCTGAATGTCGATGACTTGCAGGGAACTTTATCTCTCCCCTGTGTTGTCCAATTGAGAAAAGCCCGAATCTCTCCCAATAAAAGCGGGGCTACTGCCCCGCATAATTAGAAGAGTGCCCGGACAATCAAATCTTCGCCCCAACAGGGCTTAGATGAGCCTCCCACGGCTCTCTGTCAAACAAACACCGGCGTGATAGCGAGAGTATTCACAGCCGTGCCGCCATGACCCAAACCGGAAGTCCCTTTGAACCAAATGTTTCTTCACTCATCTCACTGAAGTCAGTCACTGAAGACAGAGTAATATTTCATGACTGAATCTGAAGTCTGCAATTTTTTTAAAAATGCGTTTCTTGGAAGCAGTTTCTGTTGGTTTTGGTCAGGCTTTTTTCCAAGTAAATGGGCTCACTGTTCCTCATGATTGAATCTTGCTTGCTCTGGGAGATGCTTTGGGGTAGCTTCTATTCCCTGTAACTCAAGGATTACTGAAAAAAGCATCCTTTCTTTCAAAATGGCTTGTGGTTGAGCAAGGTGCTGTGTCCGGTGTACTTCAGAGTTGGTTGAATTATACTTGAAACAATTATAATGATGTTTCTTGACCCTAAAAGAAGGGAGTGCTGAACTTATATTATCTGTATTTTAAAGAATGATGATGAATAACCCAGGAAATATATGTCCAAAGATGATGAATGTCTTTCATTTTCAGACAATCGAAGGAAAGACCCTCCTATCAGCGGTCATGATCCTCGGACAGCTGTTCAACTTAGAAGCCTTAGCACAGTCTTGAAACGTCTCAAAGAAATCATGGAAGGAAAAAGCCAGGTAGTGCTGGGTTTCCGTGCCCTCTTTCAGTACAAGGGAGCTGCCCTGCAACATGCTCTTTGATTCTATCAAGGGCTATTTTGTTCCAGGGGTCTGTACTGAGGGCTAAAGAGCACTGCCTACTCCTGCTAGAAGTTTTCTTGTGTACACTGAGAGCTAGAATAATCTCTGATGCTGTTTTCCTCTTGATGAACCTAATCACTTGGAAAGTGCAGATAACAGCAATTTAGTTTTCAAGGTGTTCCTGTCTCATGAGGCTGGTTTCTCTTGGAATGTGCTATATACAGGTTCCTCCCTCTGATTGGAAGGAAGAAACTTTGGGCCTACTAAATGTAATTTTTGGTTCCTTTTTCATCTAGCACAGGCTTCCTCCAACCTTTTCCAATCTTCAGATGTTTTGGATTAAAATTTCCATGTCCTTGAGCATCAGTCATGGTGGCTGATGGGAGTTGTAGACCAAAATAACTTGGGGACAGCTGATGTAATTTATTAATAGCTGGAATGTTACATCTGGGATTTTTTTAAAAAAGTTGAGTAGGTCATGTCCACCTTTTTGTAAGCTGAAATAGAATTAAAAGAAGGCTTATGCTAAGAAAATGTGTTTGTACCAGTAATTGCAGTGTAATTGTCACGGATGTTGTCAAAACCAATTGAATGAGCAGCTTATAGTCTGCCACTTGAAACTTTTAATTGGTAATCTAAGAATATTCCAAAAGGCAATTGGTCTGAGAAGAACTGCCACTTGGAAAAGCAATTTTGCTGGTGACTGCAGAAGTGTGATTGTGGCCTTGTGATTTCTCATTATATTGTTTAGCTCCAGAGAGAAACAGCCTGTGTAATTCTCTTGCCTTGCTATGTGACTTGTCTGAATACTTAATCTCACTCCTAGGACAGTGATCTGAAGCAATACTGGATGCCAGATAGCCAGTGTAAAGAATGTTATGACTGCAGTGAGAAATTCACCACCTTTCGACGCAGGCACCACTGCCGGCTATGTGGGCAGATTTTCTGCAGCCGTTGTTGCAACCAGGAAATCCCTGGAAAATTTATGGGTTACACAGGTAAGATGCGGCATGCTTGAACATCCTGCCTTCCAAGAGTTCTCCTGGGTCTGGTTTTAGATCCTTTCCAAACCATGGGATTATTGTCAGTGGTGGTATTCCCAAGGGTCTGCTTCAGTCCATACATCCTGATGTGCAACATGGTTGACTGACCGTAAGCAGAAGGTAACCATTAGCGGGAAATCATCAGGATGGAGGCCAGTAACGAGCGGGGTCCCCCAGGGCTCTGTCCTGGGGCCGATCCTGTTTAATCTTTTCATTAACGACATGGAACAAGGGGTGAACAGTCTGCCAATCAAATTCGCAGATGACACTAAAACTGGAGCAGTGGCCACAACTGAGGAGCAGGTACTCCAGATCCAAAAGGATCTGGACAGACTATGGAAGTGGGCAGGAGACAACAGGATGGCATTCAATGTGGATAAGTGCAACGTCTTGCACTTGGAGCATAGGAATAGCTGTCATAAGTACAGGTTAGGGGACAAGTGGCTGGAAAGCAGCACTTGTGAAAGGGACCTCGGGGTGCTGGTTGACTGCAGGCTAAACATGAGTCAGCAGTGTGATGCGGTGGTCAAGAAGGCGAACGCCACCCTTGGTTGCATAGCCAGAAGTGTGGCTTCTAGATCAAGAGAGGTATTACTACCACTCTACACGACTCTGGTGCACCTGCAACTGGAGTATTGTGTTCAGTTTTGGGCCCCTCATTACAGAAAGGATATAGCCAGGTTGGAGTCAGTTCAGCGTTGGGCCACAAGGTTGGTGGCCAGTTTGCAGGGAATGCCATATGAGGCGAGACTGAGGGAACTGGGTCTCTTTAGCCTGGAGAAGAGGAGACTCAGAGGGGATATGTTGACGACATACAGGTATGTGGGGGGATGTCACATGGAGATGGGTAGAGACCTGTTCTCCCCTGCAGAGGAAGGCAGAACGCGCACCAACGGAGCAAAGCTCAAGGAGCCAAGGTTCCATTTGGATGCCAGGAAGCACTTCCTGACAATCAGGACCCCGAGGGTGTGGAATGGGCTTCCCCGGGAGGTGGTTGAGGCCCCATCGGTGTGGTTGTTCAAGGATAGGCTGGACGTGCACATGGCGGGCATGTCGTGAGTGGAGCCGACTGGTGCCGGAGGTCAGACTAGATGGTCTGGGAGACCCCTTCTGACTCGCTCTGTTTCTATGTTTCTGTAATATGACTATAGGCAGATGTCTCAGAAGAGAGACTTGGTTTTAGACCGTCAGCTTTTCAGCTTTGCCACTGCAGAGCGCAAGATATTTCTCTGTTCTCCTTGCAGGTGACCTCAGGGCTTGCACTTACTGTCGTAAAATAGCCTTAAGCTACGCACACTCCACAGATGGCAATTCCATTGGGGAAGACTTGAGTGTTCTGTCTGATTCTGCTAGCTGTGTGTCAATCTTGGATCCTGTGGAACCACGGACTCCCGTAGGCAGCAGAAAAGCTAGCCGCAACTTCTTCCTGGAAGAAGACCTTACCTGGCAAAGGTACTGAGTGGGGTGTAGTTATATTTCAGCTGGTTGCTCAATCTTACAGGCCTGTTACATGCTGCACAATGATTTGCCTCACTATCTTTGTTATGGATGGGTTGCCATTAGATGAGAGGGTAGCTTCCAAACTACCTCAGAACCCTACAGCAAGCCATGGTTTCTAGCGAGGTTGGAAGCTACTCCTGTCATGTGCTTCAACGGGTTTGGACAGCACAGCAGCCCATGTTCTAGAAGGGTAATTAGGTAAATCATGTAGCTTGTGACTGGCAGGGGCAGGGAAAAGAAGCCACTGTTTCCTAAAGAGAAAAAAACCAAGTTATCCAAAAATCTCCATTAACCTGCTTTGATGTTGCAAAAAGCTATATTGACTGTCAATAGCTGTCAGATCAGACTTACTATTTCATGCCCCTAAATTACTGGAAGATAGAGACAGCCATACACTTTAATTATTTTCATATTTATTTGATTTGTACCCTGTTCTTTCAGTCAAGAAGAATGATACTCAGGGTGGCTTATAAAGAAAATGTGATTAAAACAATAATAAACAGATGCATTAAAACACAAGTTGAGAGAACTAGTGAGACCTCGCAGTTTGAGTGTTGGACTGGAATTCAGGCTATATGGGTTCTAGTCCTCACTTGGCCATAAAACTTAATGGGGGACTTTGTGCCAGTCACTACTCTCAGTCTGACCTGCCTCACAGGGTTGTTGGGAAGGTATAGTAGAAGGAGGAAGTGGATTATATAAGCTGCCTTGGGATCCTTGGTGAAAAATGGATAAGAATATCATAAACACATCAGTAAGAGTAAAACACAAACAGCATCTTACCCAGAAGACTAGCTTACATCACAAAGACCTGCTTGAATTTAAAAAATATTTTAAGGCTTAAAGTTGTAACATGTAAAAACTTGTTTTAAAATTCTGTGTTTCTGACCATGGAGTTCTAGTGATATTTGAAGGAGGGACATGGATGCCAGGAGAAAGCCTTTTATTGCTTTCAGATGTTGTTCTGGTTTAGCTTCTGCAGTCCTAGAGAAAGAACTCCAGACAAGGAGAATGATATTTCCAAGTGTATGATAACTCATCACTTGCTATAATCTGTAGAAATAACTTATACTGTTTTTGGAAGAACCAAGACAAAAAGCTGACTTCTATTTTTGAGATTGCAAATTGCTCACTGTCTGAGTCAGACTGTACATTAGTTCTAATTGCTGTTCAAACTTAGCATCCTTTCCTTCCAGCTTGATTCACCCAGATTCATCATCCTCAACTTTGTCCACACGGCTTGGATCTGTTCAGGAAGAAGCAGGGAAATCACCGGCTCGGAATAGGTAAATGACCCAAGCTCATGGTTGTCTTCATATGGAACTGCACCTGCAGAAAGGGCATGCTGCTGGCTCCAGTTGTATTTGCAACCTGAAGCTTGTCTCTGCTGCCAAGGCCTTAAAGTGACATTGATGTTCTCTTGGAAGATAATTGCATTTCTTGGTAAAGGGGATAAACCACGGTGGTATTTACATAAGTTTGCTGAAGAGGTTGCTGATCTCTTGGCATCGCTCTACTACAATGCAAACATGGTATGAAGTCCAGAGTTCAGGTTCAGTGCTGGGTGAAATGATGTCAGAGGTGTTGGACATGTGAAATTTTGCTGTGCTTTGCTCCCTCTGGGCCTTGGGGGACTGTTGTAATGCAGTAGTGCTCCTCCTCGTTCCATTTAACAGTTGTAGCTACACAGCCTTAAAGGCCTTAGTTGTGTGAGCTCTGAGCTACTGGACAAATTGTGGTGCTTGGACCTATGTTAGAGAAAAAATAGAAATGATTCAAAACTGCATCTCTGCTCTCTTAAGTCCCCAGGGTTTTGGGTAAGCTAAGGCCTCTTTCCAGTGCTTATTTCTTTTACTCTTCTGCAGCTGATGGTGGATGATCAGACTACCCTGGGCAACCCGCCAGAATATTGGCATTGATAAAGTCCATTATTCCTTATTCAAAGCACTATACCAACCCTCTAACTATGTCTGTAATATACTATGTGCCTTTCTGTGCTTTGGACTTGAAAAAGTTCTCTTACAAAGAAAAAAAGTGTGCAGCATCAAATGATACTGTACCTTGATGCTAAGATAGGTGAGCCAAGCTTTTCTTCTCTCTGTTCTGACAAAAAACAAAACAAAAAACCCCCAACCCCACTGTGATTATTGTGGTGGAAGGGTAGAGCCTAAAAAATGACTTGTGAATTGGACTGCCTGTGGTGCATGTTCGGTAATACTTTCTAGAAATTGGGAGACCTGAAATGCCTCCATGAGAGACAGAGGAGGTTTTTAAATTTAAAAATCACATTTTCTTCTCCTCACCCTTCAGGGTTTGTTTGTTTGTTTGTTTGTTTGTTTGTTTGTTTGTTTGTTTTACAAATTTCTCTGTGGGCTCCCCTCACCTTCAAATCACTAGTCATAACATGGTTGAAGTTTATCAAGCTGGAATATTACTGGCAGGTGATACATGTCAGGTTTGATCCAGATTTCTCTATTTGATTCTATTTCATTGTGGAAGGAATTTGTCTCCTTATTTCATAGGGCAATGGTTTGTCAGTCAGCCTCTCTGAATTGAAGGAAATCTGCTGCAGAAGTAGCCCTGTGGTCTGGAGAGTAGGAACTTCTCTGCTCCTCTCATCTGGGGCCTGATTGCAGCTTCCCAGCCTTTCCCAGATGCTTCTGTTGGAGGCTGTCATTAAAGGCAAACCTGAAAATTCTTAAGTAGGTAGAGGCTATTTTTTTTCCTGGAGTGGCATTTGTGGGGAGAGGTGTATTGATCAGGTTTCTACTTAACTGAGGATTTCAAAAAAAAATGAAGCAGTGCCTTCATTTTTTCAAAATACCTTTTTTTTGTATTTGCTGAGTTTGAAAACTAGTTTTATTGGCTTGGTGAGAAAGATTATTAAGAGGATCCTTCATGTTGTAAAGTTTTCCCTGTTCTGTTAAACGTTAATTTTTATGAGGTGGGATCAACTTATATATATAAGCATGGTTCTGTTTCTCCCATCAGATCAGCCAGCATTACTAACTTGTCCCTGGATCGATCGGGGTCTCCCATGGTGCCTTCTTATGAGACATCTGTCAGTCCACAAGCTAATCGCACCTACGTGAAGGAGGCCAACGAGGATGAGCGCAAAATTCTTCTGGTACAAGCCATGATTTTGTTGCCTCAGGCATTCTTCTGACAGTAATAAGTAGTGCCTTGTTCCCCTTTGTTGTACCTCTTGTCTTAGGTGTGACTAGTTTGTTTTATCCTTTCTTCTTTTGATCAAATTATATCCTACTGTTTCTTCATAGAGCTCAGTGGTGCACTTGGGCAATGCTATTTGAAAAGCTATTTTCTTATGAATGCCTATCTTTTGAAGAGATTTAAGCATGTTTCACTTGAATATAGGAAGATGAGTACTTAGAAAAAACATTGTAAAAAAAGTTTAATAATGGCCAAGTGGCAAGTAGTAAAAAAATGCATTTGCAGGCCATTCTAAGAATTATAATGGCTCTTCTGAACTACCTTTATAAAAGAAGTGCTAGCTTTAATTTTCTGCTTTCCTCGGTCATTTTCAGGGCTTTTGAAATCCTGAGTAACAGTATGCTGTTTCCAAACTGCTTCTTATATGCCAAGTAAAACTACCATTTTAATGGGAGGGAGATCCTAATTACTAGGAAAAGTGCCAAAGGAAGATGGGTTTGAGAACTACACTCAAAGCTTTCAGGCACTGTATAGTGCTAAGTAAGGGGTGGGGTTTCACAAATACCTGCCCATAAGGTAACATATGCTTAATTAGAAAAAGTCCACACAGTTTATAAACTGGGAGAGGCTGAGGTCACAGTAGGTATCCAGAGATCTGTCTTGGGAACACTGGAGTGCCCATAGGCATCATGTTGCCAGCCCCAGAACAAATGATGGCTTTCTCCAGGTGAACTACAGTGGTACCTTGGCTCATGAACTTAATCCGTTCCAGGACTCTGGTCATGACCCAAACTGGTCGTGAGCCAAGTTAAATTTCCCCATAAGCTTCAGTGTAAATAAGGTTAATCTGTTCTGTAACTATTTTTAAATCAGAAAAATGTAAAGCAAAGTGACAAAGGACAGCAAAGATTGTGGCCATCTCCCCCCTCCCAAGCACGAGCATGGCCATCTCCTCGCGCCCCCCCCCCCCAGCACAACCGCGATTGCGCCTGTCATCTCTGCATGCGGCTGTCATCCCTGTGCACTGAAGGGGAAGAGATGAGCGCAAATGTGAGTGCCCTGTGGGGGGAGAGACAGGCGTGAACGTGGGCGCACTTGGTGGGGAGATGGGCCCAGTCATGCTGGCAGGGGGAGATGGCCGAAATCGTGGTTGTGCTCCTGCAGGAAAGATGAGCGCAATCATGGGTGCACTCCTGCAGGAAAGATGGGCGTGATCTTGGCCATCTCCCCCCCTGCCCCCCAGCATGATCGTGGCCATCTCCCCACTTGGGGTTGGGGGGAGATGGCCACGATCACGGCTGTCACCCAATGCAGAGTTTGTGACCTAAATCAATTTTTTAATGAAATTTTTGTTCTCAACCCGATTTGGTCATGAACTGAGGCATTCTTGAGCCGAGGTACCACTGTTGATAAATCTTGCATTTGAATGACTTCCAGTGGCACCATCTCTTCATTCTGAAACTAGCATGTTGTATAACAAGCTGCACTTCTACATATTTAAATAATAAAAAAAGAATATGAAATGTTCAGGAAAGCTCTTTTATTGCTTTAACAAAAGAAAGAATCAACAGAAAATCTATCTCAGACAATCTGGTGGTGAAAGGAAGTCTAGCAGTCAATCCTTTTTTTGGTAAGCAATTGAGGTCAGAATCAAAAAGATAACTGTAAGAATTGTATAAGAACTATGTTTTCAATGAAATGTGTGTGTTCATAAAACTGTGTGGAGTCCAGCCACTCCGAGGGGAGGGTATCTGGTAAATAACTTGCAACAGAGGTGACCCACACCTCCCAACACAGGGAGAGAACACTTAAGCCCTCCAGATTGACCTTATCTCTAAATGTCATTCCTTTTGCCTTGTAGGACTCCGTCCAGTTAAAGGACCTGTGGAAGAAAATATGCCATCACAACAGTGGGATGGAATTCCAGGATCACCGTTATTGGCTGCGCACACATCCCAACTGTATTGTGGGAAAGGAGCTTGTCGACTGGCTCATGAGAAATGGCCACATCACCACCAGGTGCACAGACAGAGGCGCACCCCCCTCTCTTATGTTCTGTAGATTATGGGAGTAGATCGAGATGGCAGACTTGAGGCTTGCAGGATATATTTCCTGTGCACATAGGGTCCTTGCACAGATAGCCTGCTGTAATGATGCGTGCCCTGCAATTACAGGAGGAGGAGAGCAATGGCAACATGACACAGTAATGGCCGCCCAGAGAGTGTGATGCGAATGGGCAGCTTTTATATAAATCAAATAAATAAATAGGGGTTGCAGAAAGGACTTTACCAAATAAAACTGGAGGGAGGTAAGCAAGGCTGATATCATCCTGCCACCTATTTATAAAGTGAGAGCCATGACACAAAATCATCACTTCGGTTAGTGAATTAAAACAGAATCCAATATGTTTATCCTTGAGGCAATTCTCACTCTTTACTAGAGGGAGTTTGTGTGTGAGTTCACCTTCTCCTTATCACTTGCTGGGATGATGCAGACCATCAGTTAAGGTATCTCTGTACCTTTTCTTTTGTTCTGTAATGCCTCCCTTCTCAATTTTGATGTTATCGCCTACTGTCCCAATTGTTGTTTCACTTATTTGTTCTACAAATGAACCATCTTTCTTTGGAAAGAAGCGCCCCCCCCATCCCGCCAGTCTGTAGCTGAGATTGTTGGGATAATTTGCACAATGAGTCATGCTTATCTGATTGTTGGATGGAAGGGTGGGGGAACCTTATACACTTGCAGTGCTTGGTCTGCCACAGAAGGCAGCTCAGATCCAGGAACATGTGAATTTTGGGCTCACAGTGTTTGTGAAGCCTACATTTTCACAGCAGGGGAAGGGAAACTTATGTATCAGCACCCAGGAGTCCTCTGGGGGGCAACATACCATCAGTAGACATGGCTGTAGCCTAAAAGAGGCTCTCCACTTTCTCACACCGCATGTGCAGACATACCCCCATTCCCAAGCCCCCCTTCTCAACTGGTCCAGGCAGATTAGCTCGGGTGTGGGGAAGCTTTCATCCAAACCTCCTCAGCCAGTGCTCTGCTGACTGGGGACCAGGACTCTTTCCTGTTTGGGCAGAGGGGCAGGGCCTGGGGAAGAAGATGACTGGATGGTGAACCTCTGTTGGCCAAAGTTTTCTCACACCTGTTTGCCGGGATAAATGCATTTGAAACCTAATTTGGGATTCAAAACTGTCTTACTTCCAGAGCTCAAGCTATTGCGATAGGACAGGCTCTGGTAGATGGCCGTTGGCTGGACTGCATCAGCCATCACGACCAGATCTTTAGAGACGAGTATGCACTCTACAGACCCCTACAGGTATGGGCTGCTTTTGTGGGAACTCTGCATTTGAATTGGACTGCTGAAATTTTCATGTTTCTGTCTAGTTGTTTTGGCTGCTTCTCACCCATACAGGCAATGCTGAACAGTGTTGTTGTTTTCTGAAACCCAATACTGTTCACTTGTTTGCTGTACAAAAGTCATTCTAATTTCTGATAACTTGCTAATGTATACTAATTTACTTAAGATTAAGAAAAAGAGCAAGCAAACTGTGAAAACTACAGTGAAAAGAAAATTAGGTGCATCTCAGGTAACTTGAGAAGATGAGTTGGGGAAGCTGGCAGAGAACCAGAATGTTTGTTTTTAACCCAGAAGGGTGTTTTCAGAAGTGAGAACTAAAGGTACAGGTATCAAGCATATACTGGTTTAGAGTTCTTATCATATCTAAGAGAAAAGCGGTTTGTTTAAGGTTATTTGCTCTCCAAATGCTTTGTTGCCAAACTTCATTAAGGGCTGCAAATAAAAGATCTGCTACTCAGCACTTAACTACCTGACTAGTCAAATTCAGAAACTTTCCATAGATGCAAGAATGATTAAACAGAGGCTGTTATGTTTCAGGCACATCATGGGAAGGCAAGCCTGACTGGAGAAGACAATCATGCTAGGGAAAGTTGAAGGCAGAAGAAGAAAAGGAAGACTAAATATAAGATGAACTGACTCTGTAAAGGAGTCAGCCTGGAATTTACAATAACTGAGCAGGGTTGTCAGGGATAAGACATTTTGGAGTGATTTTGTTTTATAGGGTCTCAAACAATCAGAATATATGGAAGGGATTTAGATTGTCCGGTCAGTTCTCTCAGTAACCTAGAAAGGGAAATATAATGTGACCAATGGACTTGGTACAAAATATTAGCACATCATAGCATTATTGAAGGATTTTAAAAAATGAAATACTCGTAGCTGCAAAAAATATTCCGGTGACTCACTTCCTTGACTTGTGCCATCAGGATGTGTAAATATCCAGAACATTTCAGCATAGGAGGTTGGAAGTGCTTTTGAGAGACGGCACTTGCCAGAGCTGAGGTGTGCTGGTTGGTTTGATTGCCACTGCACCAGATGGCTCTTATGGACAGGTAGCAATTCAGAAGTGTGTGCACAGAGCGGGCAGGGTGAAAGGGAATCTGCTTCTGCCTATTCCTTGCTCTTTTTTGCAGCATCCCAACTTCTGCACTGCAGTATCTAGGCAGTGGTGATCATGGGGGATGCTATCTTTGCTTACTCAAAGCATCAGGCTGCCTTTTTCTGTTTAAGAATGGCTCAGGGCCAAGAACAAATTCTGCCTGTCCTGGGGAGCTATTCTTTTTTTTTCTAAGAGTCACATTTGTACAAGCCTTCATTATTCTGACTTGGAGAATATCTTATAACCAGTCATTGTGTAAGTACAGGGAAAGTCTTTAAAGTCCCTCAACTTTTTGTTTCTTTAAACAAAAAGAAAGCAAGTTCAGAATTGGTGCATGAGTTTGCTTGTTTTCCTCCACCCTCTGCATTAATTCCTATTGTGCTCTATCATTTGTAAGCTGCTTTGGAGTCTTTTTGCCTGAAGAGTAAAAATGCTATAAAGAAAGAAAGGTGTTTAGTTCTTATGGTATGTGTGAATGTTACCTGATACAATCCAGGAAGCCTGAGGGGTTTCTGAGTACAGTCAGTGTTCAAGGGCAAGGCTTTAGTGTGGTGCACAGCTGCCTTTCTGATCTGCATGTGCAACAGCAGACAACTAAGAACTTGTTGCCAAGAAAATATGCATAGAACTGGACTGTAAATCATGCCATGGAAATTACGTAAATTATATAAAATAAGATCAGTTTGTGTAGTATTTCATTCTAGGCCGGTATAGAATGTCTACATTTTTGTTTCCTTGGTGCAGCATCCCCACAGCCTGCCTGAATATGTACTAAATGTTTTGTGCTCCAGAGACTTACCAGAGTGCTGTGAAAGAGACAGAATGGCAGGGAATAAAGCTATTTTATTACCTTTAATGTGTTTCTGCAAGCTGTAGTGAAGCTAGTGTTCTTATGGTTTAAACCAAATTGCCCACTCTTGCAGTAAAAGGACCAGCTTGTGGTTCTCCAGTTGTTCTGGTTTACAGTTTTCCTGACCCCTTGTGGTTGGCTGTGCTGTCTAGGGCTGAGGAAAGTTGTAGGCTGAAACATCTGGGTGGCTGTCAGTTGTCCACCCATTTTCCTGCCTTGATTGGGAGCAGGAATTGACTGGCCATTCCTGGAAGCCAGCACTGCAATGCCCAAGCCTTGCTTCAGAGTTGCCTTTGTCAAATTAATCTGTGAAGAGATCAGAGGTAGCCTTATGGCGGGACAGGTTGACGTCATGTTTGGTCAGTGGAATCGAGAATTGCTCAAGCAGTTAGTGCGTATTTCTTCTGTGGGCAGAGAGCACTGAGCTCCAGGTCACCAGCCCCCTGGCTCTGGTCCTAGCAGTCCAGTTGTTGCTGCCAGCCGCAGGGTCTTGGGAATGGGAGGGAGCTTGCCCTTCAGAAGATCCTCCTGCAAGGAGACGAACAACGTGGGCACAAGGGAGGCAGGGACTGATTTCTGGGCCTGTTGTGCCTGAAGAACTTTGCAGGGAGGCTCTGAATATCTTCCAGCTTAAAGTGGGAATGTCATGCACGTTGTGCAAGAATGAGGGAGTAATCAGTGTAGGTGTAGCAGATGTCCTTGGAAGCACCAGGTTTCAGAGTGTCCTTGGCAAGACCACCCCCGATAGGGTCCCTCCATAGCACTGTGACTACCTGCTTGCTTGACAGGTGGGAAGCCAGTGAATAACCAAGTACGCAACCACACTTGCTGCTGCTCCTCCTCGCTTCTGTCTGGGCCAGGGTGAGAGGTGGATAAGCAGGTGGGCTCCTGCTGGAGCAAGAACCCTCTGTTTGATTCTGGAAACAGTGGCATACTAATCTCGAGCCACCTGTGGGTGCCTCTAAAATGCTGTGTGTTCATTTCAACTTTAGAGGATACTTTGGTTTCAATATTGAGAGGTCTGTTGCATAAACATGGGCATAAATCTAGAATGCTTTTGTCTATTGTGCAGCTTTGAATAGCCTGTGGGATTTATTGATCACAACCAATTAAACAGCAACCGAAACAGTAGAGGATGCTTTTCATTGCGCTCTTTCTCTCTCTCTTGCCTTTTGGCATCTTCCTTTGGAAGAAGCAGTAGAATAATGCTGGAGGGTTACAAACTGGAGACTGGACTTTATTGTAAAACAACCTGAACAGTACAGGATGCCTGAACAATAAAAGTCTCATTGGGAAACACCCTGGCGCTCCAGAATGGCAAAAGAACACTTTTAATACTAGAAAGCTGGCAATATAAAGCACATTTCTCCATGGCTTACTGTGTACTCTGTGCTGACTAGCCAAACTGATCTCTGTTGTTAGGCCTTCTTCAGCACTGGTACGTTGCTTTGTTTTATTTACATGAATGATACAAAATTTATTGCCCTTACTGATTTTCTTTCCTAGTATTTTTGTATAGATTCTATTTTTTATGATTGGCATCTATATTTTTGCTACTGTTAAAGACCATTACATAGCATTAAACAATGCAATTTTTGGTTTTGTTTTATATTTATGCATTTGTAGATTTCATGTTCCCTCTCCAAATAAACCTGAATCTACTTCTGGTCACCCTTTCTCCTGTGCAATTCAAAATCCCCTTTTTAGTTGTTCTGTTTCCTTGATGAGTAATAGAGAAAGCAAACATATTTTGCCCAACCCTTACACACACGGGTGCACACGTAAACACACAAGTTAAGAAAAATATTGATTAGTTACTGTTCTCCCCCCTCCCCATTTCTGCTCACTTAGCATAAAAATATCAAGCAACCTCTGTTGAGGCAATTGTTATGAACATGTATTTTGGAACTCATTCTGTTCTAATTACAAAACCATACTTGTTCCATCTGGAATGCTAATGAAAGAACTTTTTGCTTTGTAAACCTGCAGAGCACGGAATTTTCTGAAACACCTTCTCCAGACAGTGATTCTGTCAACTCTGTGGAAGGCCATTCTGAGCCATCCTGGTTCAAAGACATCAAATTTGACGACAGTGACACGGAACAAATTGCAGAAGATGGAGATGACAATTTGACCAGTGAGTTTCCGTGTTCCCCTTTGCAGCAAGTCAAAGTCCTGCTTCCCTCAGCCTGCTGTTGTGAAGTAATAAACTTTTTATCTAATCCTTTTAGATGGATGAAGTATTTTCTGTGTGGTTTGCTAGATTGTTTTTCTTCCCCCAGCTCCTCCAAACTGACATATGCATAAATTCATTGCACTGTGGTGGCCTGACAGCTGCCCTGCTTCTTTTAAAAAATGAGCAAGCGGCCTTAAAACACCATCAGAATCCTAACAAAGCCCCTAGATACAAGTGGATGAAAATGCTGTCTCTGTCTCTGTCTCCTCCCTCTCTCTTCAGCATTGCACTTTGGGCATTGTTTAATTAAGTTAATCTCTCTCCTATCCTCCATGCCTTCGTGGATATCAATCATTTGAATCTCCCCACCTTTCCTCCGTGTCTCTCTTTCTCCCTCTCACTCAAATTTAAAAGATTCCGCCAGCCCTAGCAAGCGCACCTCAATCAGCAGCTTCCAGTCTGCCATGGACAGCGACTCAGCCGCTTCCATCAGCCTAAACGTGGAGCTGGACAACGTGAACTTCCATATCAAGAAGCACTCCAAGTACCCACATGTGCCCCCTCACCCTGCTGACCAAAAAGGTACGAGGTAGTTGCACATGGTTGAACAAACAGCACTTGGATCACCATTTGTCTGAACACTGCCTCCTTATTTCTTCCCACTGAACCTCTGGTCTTCCATGCATTTCTTTCATCTTCAGGACACTCGGGCTGAATCCTAGGGTCATGCATACTGGATTTTCTCATCCTGCCCCCCCACACACCTTGTTGTGCACCCTCTGCTCTGCTCCAAGGGGACTGCCAGTGTGGGGGGAATGTTGGTCCTTTCTGTCAGTGGTTGTTGTTCTGCTGAGGGAAGGACACAGGTGGAGCTAAACTTCTGATGTTGAACTGCTGTGGGCAACCGACTAGCATAGTACGTGCAAGTTAGCACGTGCCAATTAGTGGAGGGGCCATAGCTCAGTGACAGAGCCCCTGCTTTGCATGAAGAAGGTCCCAGGTCCAATTCATGACACCTCCAGGTAGGGGTGAGAAAACCACTTACCTGAATCCCCGGAGAGCTGCTGCCAGTCAGTGTCAGCCTTGCTCGGTTAGACAGACTGGCTCTGCATAAGGTAGCTTCCTTTGTGCCTATCTCTTCAGTGAGCTCTTCAGGGACAGACCTCACGTCCACACGGACAGAAGGATATTTAGAAGAAGATCTTTTTTGAAATAACCATTCTTTCTGGATGCCAATAAAGAAGCTATAGCTTCTCCCAGCACTTGGTCAGAAGGAGGGAACACAGTCTTGCTGCAGATGTGGAACATGCCAGACTTGCATCTGGATTCCTACCCAGCCTCAGGCAGCTCTTTCTCTCTCTCTTCAGCAGCTAGCTGCTTTGCATGATGTGAGTTTCATTTCCACCCCCATAAAGGCTGAAGAAATTACAATCCTTTAACCCTAACCCTATGTGTGTTTAGACAGAAAAAAGTGCTACAGCTCCCCACATTCCCCAGCCCACTAGCCAGCTGGTGCATGCAGGGATTTTAGGACTTATTTTTGTATAAACATGCATAGGATTGCACCCTTTAGCCCTTGAATTTCTTAATGTAGCAGTTCTGGATGTAGCAATACAGGTTTAGAACCATATCCATCCTTATTTTTCTGTGTCTTAAAAGTATGAAAATACAAGAATGTTGATAAAAATATTTTTTCTTCTCCACACACAAGTATTAAAATTATAATAACAGTATTGCAGATACATATGGCCTTTTCATCTTCCTTGTTTCTTTTGCCACCACTCCCTGACAGAAACCACAATGGAATTTAAGGGATTTGGTTTCTGTAAAAAGAAATATATAAAAGAAGGTAAATTTACTTATGTCTGCTTTTGCTCAAAGATGTCATCCTAAAGAGAGAGACTAATTTGTGCTGTTATTTAGTATATAGTTGAATTATTTCATGCATGGTAACAGGCAACAGCACTGCTCACCTAAAATTTTGCTTTGGTCACTAAATGTTGAAACTAATATCATGGAATAACCATAGTACTAGGAGTTCTTCTTCTGGCTTGTGAATTAACCACTTTTCCTCTTAATGTTACTTGTTATATGCCTGTGTACTGAATGCATTGAGAAAGTTCTGTTTGTGTTTCAGGAGAACAGCCTGTAGATGTTCATTGTGCCATGCATTTCACAAGAAATTCAGTTCAGTTAATTGACTCAACAGATACATATATGTGAGACAATGTATCCATAGGTTACCCCTGCCTGACATTCAATCTGAATTTGTTGAATCTTGCAAATCAGGAGATCTGAACACCACTGCCTCCTCTTGTGCAAAATGTACATGACCTCTGAAAGCAGCTGTAGACCTTATGGCTTTACCACAAGACAGCGAGACGTTAACTTGTGACGTCGTGGCCTCTCTCAGATGTCGTTCAGCTGAGTTGGCAGCTCTTATTTATACATTATGTTTTTAATATGCCTAATGGTCAGTATTCTCTGGGCAGATGACAAGTAGTTAAGAGGCTAAAATACCAAACCTAACTTTCCTGGTCTTTACGAATGGTCAACAGAGCCAGTGGTAGCATGAACCATAACATGAGGGGCAAAGATTTTTGTCTAAAACTTCAGAACAGTGATATAAATACATTGTTTAAAGGAAATGAGTGTTTTGCTTTGTGTTGTGGACCAGAATTCTATTTCTGGTGTGCTGTGTAAGCTAACACGCTTCCTTACTTTATGACCAAACCTGGGCATTGTGGATTAATTGTGGGTTTTAGTGTAACCATGGGTTGTTTTACCCATGATTAACCCATAGTGATGGTTCACCTCTGATTGAGCCAGTTGGAGATTGCATATGCTTGATGAAGAAAACCTGAAAGCTTGCTCACTACTTGGTGGCATTTTAGTTGATCCTAGTGAAAATATCACGCAACTGAGGATGATGCCCATGTTTTTGTACAGCTGAGAGATTTTTGGAATAGAAAGTTGAAGGCAGAAGAAGAAAAGGTAAATCAAATATTAAATGGATTGACTCCATCAAAGAAGCCACAGCCTTGAGTTTACATGAGCCGAGCAGGGCTGTCAAGGGCACTCATTCATACGGTCGCCATAAATTGTAGACAGCTTGACAGCACATAGCAACAGCAACAACATATTTCATGTGACTGAATTGAATGGGGATCTTTTGCAGTTTATCTTAACTGTATCTGAAGTTGGATAGTAGCATCATGCTTAGGTTGATGTTGCTAGCTTTTCTGCTTCGAAAGCAATAAGCCTTAAACTAATGTTAAACAGCACAGCAGTTTCTGTTTTCTGCTGTGCATCAGGAGTTTCAAAGCCTTATGAAAGGTTTGTCAGGTTAAATTAGTATGAAAAAATACTTCACAGAGATTTTGATCACCTTGCAATGCTCATGAGGGAGCAACTCTGCACTTACTTGCATGATTTTATACTGTCTCGCAACATTTTGTGATTGCATACCCAGTGTTCTGGGGAACTGGGAAGGAGAGGATTGACAGGGATGCTGGGTTCTGCAGTAGGACTCAGGTGATGTTTCTGGGTGTCTGGTCAATGTTTGCAATGAGGCTTACTGAAAAATGGAATTGAGAGGCATTGTCTTGTCTTGGGCAAACAGGTTTCATGAGACTACAATCTCACTCCTCTAGGGACCTCTTTTAAAGGCATTCATGTGCAATGGAGAGGCTGCCTTTCTTGAAACTTCCCTTTGAGCTATCAGTTTCCTTAAGTGGGTGTAACTGCTGTAGGGCAGCAGGGCAGGTTTGGGAAACAAGGCTTTTCTTCAGTTTAGTTGTCAAAGCAATCATCAATTTGCAAACCTGAGATAATGAAAGTGACAGCAATCTGATCTCTTGACAGAGCTTTGCAACCGAAAGTCAGTCAGTTAAACACAATCCTCACCCCATATCTCTGTCACCCATTGGGATTACCACAAACATACATTCCTCATAAGTTCCAATTTGATGCAATGTTGAAGTTGAAACTTTGGCTGTGTAATGTATTCTCAAAGTATCCTGCTGGATCACAGTTACTTATTGGTACGACGGTTGTATGGAATAATATGCTGCTCTTTATTTGTGTGCAAGGGTCCAGTGTTGTTGCTCTCTTTTTGAAGAAAGGAAGAGCTGCAGCTCAGCTGTGGCTCAGAACACACCTGCTTTGCATGCAGACATTTCCAGGGACTAGCATCTTTAGCAAGTGCTGGAAAAGTTCCTTCCAGTCAGTCATCAGTCCTAGGAGGGCTAGATGGATCACTGGATCTGACTATGCACTAGACAAATCCTTATCTTCCTGATTTGCTTAGCTTGTCTGCATCTTCACTTGGTGTGGGCCATGAATCCCTTGGAGTAATGGGACATATTTAAATTGGGGAAATTACCTCTGTTCACTTCCTCTTTTGTGTAAAGCTGATTCCACAACAGTGGCGTGCCCTGTTTGACAGCCAACCCAATGTACAGACATCACAAGGCAGGATGGGAAAATCCTTTTGGCCTCGGCCTCTTGGGTTGGTTCCTGCAACAGAGGCCAAATTCATGAGATGAGTCATCTCTTCTTTTTGTGGGATGGGTGTGTAAGCTGAATAATTACAATCATGCTAGCATAACCTGTCATTTCCTTTGTCCTCCCCTCCCATCTCCATATTTTTTCTCTCCTTTTAGAGTACTTGATTGCTGACAATGGAGGACAGCAAATGATCTCAATAAGTGACGCTTTCATCAAAGGTAGGTTGAATGTGGGAAATTGGGCTCATGTTATGTTGAGTGAACACTTCACTCCCCCCCACCCTTGTTAAGGGTGTTGAAACTATAACATTAGGCTAGATGTGGTCTTATCCAAAGCTTGGTAGAATCTGTGTCCATCTCTCCGTGTGCTTTGTGAGCAAGCAAAGCAATAGCCTTCCTTTCCTTCTTCTGCTTTGTGTGTGTAGCTTCGTTTTCAAATGGATGTTCACTTTAAAGGAATCTTCTCTCAAGCTTTTCCATGTAAGCATACCCAAGACGCTTCCCGAGATTCACTCTGGTCGGAGACTAGCACCTTGGAGACACTCTTTCTGCTTGTGTGATGCAACTCAGTTAGTGCCTGTCTCCAGGTTTCTTCAGTTGCTAGTCACGTAAACAAGCAAGCACTTGTTGATCTGCAGAATAACTTTACCTAAAAGAGGGCATTAAGGAGAAACTCTGGAAATGTTAATCTGCTTCAGGTCTTTAAAATCATAACAGGTTTCTCTATCCATCTTTTTAAATGGTAAGCACAGGAAGGCAGTTTTTAGAAGTTTCTTTTTACCATGGCAAGCCACTTATTTTGATAACAAGCACAGCACTGCTTCAAATTGTCACTTAAAATAACCTCCAAACTTCCTCATGCTGGTCCCATTTGATTGAAGAGTCACAGTGTCTTTGAAGTTCTAGTGTGTGCTTCTATTCTATTCTGCTAAAAGATAAGGGAATCTCCACTTCTTTGCAGTGTTTTCCTTCTCCACCTCTTAGTGCAGCCTTTCCCAACCAGGTTTCCTCCAGATATTTTGGATTTCAGTTCCCATCCACCTCAGCCAACACAGCCAGTGGCCAGTTGTAGTCCAGAACAACTAGTTGGGAAAAGGTGTATTAGATAGGAGGCTTCTTGGAACACCCTCAAGGGTGGTGGAAGTAGATGGGTACATTCTACCTGTGTAGCGCTTCACTGTATTTTAAATCATAGCACAATTCAGGGGGAGAGGTTTCCCATACCTGTTTACTGAAACAAGTTTCCCATACCTGTTTACTGAAGCAGCTCTCTCAGTGAGTGGCTGGTCACTCTAGGCTGGTCCTTCCTACAAAATAATGGTTTAGCTCAGAGGAGGACAACAACTTTTAATCTGAGGCCAGATTACCTTCTCCCCTGATACCAAGCCTGTGGGCTGTGTAATGTCACAGAGTGGGAGCTAACCCCAAACCTCCTCTGCTTCCATGGCATCCTCTCCCTCGTCCATATATTTGTGCAGTGCTCTATGCTTCTCTGTGCTCAAGTCGGGCTGCTCTTTCTCACACCATGTGTCACCTGGATTTGGGGAATCCCAGGTCAGTTTCTGAGACTGGAGAAAAACTGGGCATTCTCCTTTGTGCCATGGCCCTGAGTGTGGGATGCAGGGATGAGGCCTGTGGAAGATGCTCATCATCCCTGGGTTGGATTGAGCCAGCAGCCTTTCCCTGTTTTTAGCATTATAAGAATGAAACTTTGCTAACCTTTGGGTCATGTGCATTCTTCTGTTTCTCTTTTGGATGCATAGAAGAGCTCAAATGCCTCTGTTTTAGAAGTAACCACAGTTGCAACTGTGGCTGCCTTTCATGATTGTTAATTGAAACAATCCAGGATCTTAAACTATGGCCAGATTCCTAGGTTTTTCAAATTAACCACAGTGGGAACAAATTGCACTTCCCTGATTTCAGATGTCACTGGGACCTGTGGCTTGTCGTCAAGCAGACACTGTCAGTCTCTAAACCTGTGTGGAAGAGGGTTGTGGGTGTTAGCCTGAAGCTTGTGCAGACTCTGTCTTGCAATGCTAGGCTCTGGTTTTTAGGTCATACCTGACCCAGAATAGAGAAAATGATTGATCTTAGTCTGAGAAGTGAGCTTCCTGCTTTTATAGCAAAGGCGGGCAACTTGTATCCTCCCAGATGTTTCAAATCCACATGAAAATGATCCTTTTTTAATCCATTCTCAAGCACTTTTCTCAAAAATCACCACTACATTTTTAATTGTTTGACTAGAATTGACTCAGTTGACATAAAATGTATTCAGGAAACCTGGATACAGAAATGACACAAAATTGCTAAGCATCAAAAATATTTTAAGATATTCCTGTTCCTCATGTTCTTCAGTGTCAGGTACTCCAAATGTGAACAGTTGCAAGCTTGTATTCAGCTGTTGTGGTGTTTGATAAATGGGATGCCTATATTAGAGGAGCTAAGATGTCCAGAGGGCGGATGAAAAGCTCCTTTGCTCTTATGATGCTCTACCTGCTTGTGATCCAAAGACCAAGTTCATTCGTAGCCAAGGTCATGGATGTGTCTGCTAGGGAATGTTTTGTCCTGGAATAGCCCCCACCCTCTGGATGTACTACCAGAAGCAGCTCTCAAAATCTTCCTTCTTTCAAATGTATTTTACCATGTGACTGGGTATGTGGAAGGTATTGCTGGAGGAAACAGAAGCCCATGGATGTGCTTCAGTTCCCCATGTTCCCTGTTTGATCCCAGCTTCTATGCTGCCTAGGATCTTCACTTCTCATTACTTTGCTGATAGCAAAAGTATGAAAAACAGAGTGTTGATGGTGGAAGTAAACTACAGAATTGATAGCTTAGAGCCAGTAAAAGCCACATGAATCCATGTAGGGAAAATACCACATGTGAAGTCCTTTCAAGTCCTTAGCATTGAAAGAAACCAATCTGTGGACTGAAATGTAATCTCACATTTTCCCTTCATGTTTGTTTGTTTGTTTTTTCTCTTAGAGTCCCTGTTCAATCGGAGGGTTGAAGAAAAATCCAAAGAGCTGTTTTTCACACCCTTAGGGTGGCATCACAGCAATCTGGACCTACTCAGGGAAGAAAATGGGGAAAAGCAAGCCATGGAGCGGCTGCTGTAAGTTGTAAATCCCAAGTAGGCTCCATGTGGGCCTGGGCCCTCAAGCAGAGGGCCCTTGTCCACACACTATGTCTTCTGTAACAGAAGTCTGGGGAAAAAACATCACTTTTCATTCAGCGCCTCCCAGTGCAAACTCTGACATAATAGATATGTTGTCATGATGTTCTGCTGCTATTTGTGATCTGTATTTGTCAGTTAAAACCCCCAGACCTGTGGTTTTAATAAACCATGACGGCTCTTAACAAAGGGCTCTTAACAAAAGAGCCCTGCTGTTTCAGAACAAATGCCCATCTAGCCCAGCATCCACTGACCAGTGGAGGCCAGCCCAATTCTTAGGAGGTGGTGGCCTTCCCCTCCCACCTCTGAATGTCACATCTGGGCACTGGGGTTTGGAGCTGCTGAGAGATGCCCCCACCTTCATTTGCCAAATGCATTTTGTGGCAGCAGCAACCCACATAAACTTGGGGCGAAGAAACGTAAACATGGGCTGGCACTGATGCATGCAAATTGTAAGAAATGTAGCACATTTTTTACAGCAGCGGTGTATTGCAGTGATTAATCTTTCTGCTGTATTAGTTGCGCATTGGTGATTTGTGCATGGTTAAAAAAGACTGCTGGGTAAAATTCTTGATGCCAGAAAAAGGCTTTGCTTCTTATTAAGATCTTGGGGAGAGGGAAATGCTGCAGCAGTTCTTTCTAGTGTGGATTGTTCTCTGTATTGTTCACTTTCTAAGTCAAAATTGATGTTCTCTTGGGAAAAACCAGTGATGTTTTCCAGTTCTTCTGCCCCTTCCAATCTTTTAATTCATTGAGGCATACAGGAAGGAGGATGTATGTTGCTATTTATTGTTGTGAGCCGCCCCGAGGCTTCGGCGAATGGGGTGGCATAGAAGCTTCCTAAATAATAATAATAATAATAATAATAATAATAATAATAATAATAATAATAATAATAATAATAATAAAGTTATCAGTGGCTACCTGTCATGATGGTTGTATGTGACATCCCTCATTGGAGGCAGTATGCCATGGTATGCAGTCATCAGGAACCTTGAGAGGGAGGCTGCTGCCATTGCACACAGGCTGTCCTTCTTGTGGGATCCATGTGGGAGTGTGGTTGGCCACTGTGGAAACAGAATGCTGGAGTAGATTGCTATTGGTCCAATCCAGCAGGGCTCTTCTTGTGCTCTTAGGAGATGACATACGTATCTTCCCTGACCTTTGCCACCTGTGCAGTGCAAGCAGTCCTTCTATCAGTTCTGGTCTGGTGGGAAGGAATCTCATGTGCTGTCCTCTTTGCTGCCTCTCCAGCCCCTCGGTGAGGGCTTGCAGTGCATATTTCCTTTCAGCTGTTTGACTCTGGGTCCCAGTGGAGAGCGAGCTCTTGCAGATACCTGGCACAGAGCTGTTCTGGGCCTCTTTCAGATGTCTGAATCCAACATAGCCGCATCCCTGACATGGTAATGTTAATACAGTGGTACCTCAACTCAAGAATGCCTCATTTCATGACCAAATTGGGTCGCGAACAGACATTTCATAAAAATTTTGCCACAGGTCGCGAACTCTGCATCGGGTGATGATCGTGAGCGTGCCCGCCTTCCCTGCATGGGTGTGATCGCAGTCGTCCTGCAGGGGAGATGGCCGCAATCGCACCTGTGTTCCCTGCCCAAGTGAGCCCGTGCCCACTCCCCCCCCCACGTGCCCACACCCCCCTCCCCACAGCATGCCCGTGATCCCGTCCATCTCTCCCCCGCACGATCACGGAGTGGGGGGGAGATGGCCGCAATCTTTGTTGTTCTTTGCTTCACATTTTTGTGAGTAAAAAAAATAGTTGCAGAATGGATTAGCCTTATTCACATTGACCCTATGGGGAAATTTGACTTGGCTCACAACCAATTTGTGTCACAACCAGAGTCCTGGAACGGATTCAGTTTGTGAGCCATGGTACCACTGTACTCTGTTTGGCATATGGATATATTTGAACTGAAACACACCCCATGGGGTTGCCTCAGAAAAGGGATTGCTTCAGAAAATTCATTAAATTCATTAACAAGTTTCTGCCATGTGGTAACTTTGGCAGCTGTGCATGTTAGAGGAATGCCAGACAGATGTATCCCCCCTCACCTGAGACTTTGTGGTCAAATCTGCATGTGAGGGCTTGCACTAGCTTGCATATAATTAGACGACTTGGTCCCCCTCTGCCTGTGGTGCTCTGAGCTGCCCTTTGATAACTTCCAAGGTCTCCCTCCTGGTACTTGAGATGCAGAGTTCACTGCTGGGCTGGGAGAAATAGATGCGCATAAAATATGTGTTTGTCTTCTTTGCCTTGGACTTTCTCCCTGTATTCGAAGACACACACACTCACAAGCCTTTTCTCTGCAGCTCAGCTAACCACAACCACATGATGGCCCTGCTTCAGCAGCTGCTCTACAATGAGGCACTCTCTCTTTCTTGGAGGGACATCATTGTCCCCGTGGTCTGCCAGGTGGTTCAAACGGTCCGGCCCGATGTCAAGAACCGGGATGATGACATGGACATCCGCCAGTTTGTCCATATCAAAAAAGTGAGTTCATAGGAGGTAGAGGGGTCTTGACCCTTGAAGAGCCTGTTCCTGGGAGCCCAGTCCAAGAAAGGAGGGAGGTAGTGCTTCTTGATGTTAGTGAAAGAATTCCCTGCTTCCAAACAGCTTTGCCTCCCTAGGGACTGGGTGGGGAAAAAGATAATAACACCCTCACTCTTTTGCCAGATTCCAGGTGGGAAAAAATTTGACTCGGTTGTGGTGAATGGCTTTGTATGTACCAAGAATATAGCACATAAAAAGGTATGATGCCATTGTTTTTGTTCACCTCACGTGACAGCATGGATGACCTAAGTGAAATGTCTAATGATTCATGCAATTCCTCCTGTAACCTGTTTTTTTGCTCACATTCTTTCCCACCCCACTGCACTTAACTCCAGATGTGCACATCCTGCCAAACATGGGGTTGATAGAATGTGTGTTCAGGTATGCATCAGACTAGGGAAAAGGGGATGCCCTGTTTAGATCAGCCAGTTGATGCTCTAAGTCAGTGGTCCTCAAACTTTTTAACCAGGGGGCCAGTTGAAATGTGCCAGTGCTGGGTGCGGGCTGGAAAGATGGTGCCGGCGGTGCGCACGGGCCCGCGCAGGGGCAGGGCGTGCAGCGAGGGGAGGCGGGGGCAGACATGCGCCATGAGCTGGGCGCACGAGACAGTGGCTTGCTTGTTTGGAGATTGTTTTCTCCGAGTGAGCAAACTGCTGCCTCCCCGCACGCGGGGCAAGGTGGGTGGCGGCGTGCGTGCACGGCGGGTCCAGATGGGCATGGCGGGCCGGATCCGGCCCCTGGGCCGTAGTTTGAGGCCCCATGCTGTCAGTCATAGACCAGCCTTCCCCAGCTGGGTGCCTCCAGATATGTTGGACTGGAACAATTCCCAGTAGGCTGGGAATTATGGGAATGTCAGTCTAACACATTTGGATAGTGGCTTGCTAGGGCAGGCTGTTATAGACTTCCTAAGTAGGTCTCATTCAAGAGCAGTGCTGGTGGATAGCATCCCATCTGACCAGCATATTTCACAGCTTGCATTAGATTAGCCTTCCCTGCTAGGATTTTTCCCACCTCTGCCTAGAGACACAACCTGGGGCCTTTCATGTGCAGAGCAGGTGCTTGCCACTGAGCTGTAGCTCTCCCCACTGAGCAGAATAAGAAAAGGTTTAAATCTGATACAAAGTGGCAGAGGAATCTATTTTGCAACCCTCTCTCTTTGCAGATGAACTCCTACATTAAAAACCCCAAAATTCTTCTGCTAAAGTGTTCCATCGAGTACCTCTACCGAGAAGAAACAAAATTTACTTGTATTGATCCCATTGTCCTGCAGGTTGGAACAGTCTTTTTCTTTGTCTATTCTTGTAGCATTAAAACAAGCTGAGGTGCAGTGGTGGGGGCTGCCAGAAAGATGGGGGGGGATGTGCTCCAGGGAAAAACTTATGTGAGCATTGGAGCAGATGTTTGATGGCCTATTTGGGAAAGGGGTCCTCAGCTCTGTAACATGCTCCTCATCTCTGTGGACATTGGAACACCTGGGTCAATGGGCATATTCTTCAGGTCGTTTAATTCCTGAATACTAGGACAGATCTGTTTGAAGCATTTCTGTAGGGACATGGCAGTTTTGTGTCCTAATGTATTCTGTGTCATAATGACCTTTGTTCACATTCTAGAATTTCATCATTTTTGACTTTTTTATCAGTAGTCATGGAAGCAGCTTTACACTGATTGGAATTGTCAAAACTGTTCATGTAGCATTTTTCCCAGGGTTTCAGGGAGGAGTATTTCCTAGGCCCACCTGGAGATGTCATGGGTTGACCTTCTGTACATGATGCATGTGCTCTACCCATTGAGTTATGATCCCTCCTTTAAGTCCAGTTCCTTTAAGTGCCCTCCAGTTTGACCATGGATGGCACCCAAACTAGCATGGTGATGGCCTTTCTGGTCTCCGCACCCAGTTTCTTAGGAATATCCCATTGGTTTTGAGTAAAACATTTAAATTGCCGTGCTTCAGGTTTTTTAGCCTAGGCATAGTTAGTCCTCAAATGTTTCCAGGTTCTGCAGCCCATCCTTGATGACTGTTCTGCTTGCTTTTGCTATGCTAGGAAAGGGAGTTCTTGAAAAACTACGTCCAGCGGATAGTGGATGTCAGGCCTACTTTGGTCTTGGTTGAAAAAACAGTGTCCCGTATCGCCCAGGATATGCTGCTGGAACATGGCATCACCTTGGTCATTAACGTGAAGCCGGTAAGCCCTGGAGTTTCTAAAGAAAGTTGTGGTTCGGTGCCCTGGTCTATTTCTACATAAATAAATGTCGAAGAAGGCTGGTGCCTGAAGTATGTATGACCCCATGCAGAGAGAAGGATCCTCACAGGGATGTGGGCTGCTTTCCCACTGCTATTGGTCTTAGGCCAGGAGGGCTGACTATGACTGGATTCTAAAGAACTGTGATTCATCTTTAAAGATGCTGCTTGCAGCTTTATTGAGATGAGCACTCCTTTAAGAGAAGCTTCACCAGTCCTAGCTTGGACTTGAACAAAGGATTGGGGTGCAGTTTACAGCTCATAGAGTATTGTGTCTCCTCGTATGCTTGCTTTTGTCACTCTTCCAGTCAGGAAAAACTCCAGGGGATCTGATGGGAAGCCCACAAGCAAAACATTCCTCCCACTGCAGTTTGTGTATTTGTTTACTGAATTTAAAAGCTGCCCATTAGTAACATGCTGTCTGGACGGCCATTACAGTATTCATTCATTCATTCATTCATTTTATTGCATTTATATGCCCCCCCAATAACACAGAGGGCTCTCTGGGTGGTTTACAAACATTAGAACCTCATAGACAAATAATACAAAATATAAACAAATATTTATTAATTATATTATTATTTATTAATAATACAATTCAAATATAATAAAATAAAATAACAGTAAAATAACTAGATTAATGTATGTTTTAATTTAATTAAAAACTGTGTACCAATATAAATAGTCTAGATGGTGCCAAAAATGTATTGGAAAAGGAAAGTTTTTGCCAGTCACCCGAAACTCAATAAGGTAGACACCTGGTGAATCTATGGCAGTAGAATATTCCATAACTGGGGTGCTACCCCAGAAAAGGCCCTCCTTGTAGGCTTCCCCTTACCTCCTTGGGGAGTGGAATTCATAGGAGGGCCCCAGTTGAAGATCTTAGACAACAGGCAGGAATATATGGAGGAAGGCGCTCCCTAAGTTACTGTGGTCCCAGACTGTTTGGGCTTTGTATGTCATAGTTCAAACTTTGAATCTGGCCCACACAGAAACAGGCAGCCAGTACAGCGGACGGAGGACAGGTGTAATGTGTTCATAAGAACTGGTCCTCAACAACAGCTGCTCTGCTCTGTTCTGGATCATTTGAAGAGTCTGGACCATCTTCAAGGGAAGCCTCCATAAAATGCATTGCAGTAGTCCTGTCTGGAGGTTACCAGTGCATGAATGGCCCTGGTAAGGCTATCTTCGTCTAAGTAGGAGTATAGTTGATAAATCAGTCAAGAGCTGATAAAAGGTCTCCTGGCAACCAAGTCCACCTGGGCAGCCAGGGAGAGTTCCGGGTGCAGGAGCACCCCCCAGACTCCAAACTTTGTCCTTTAGGGTGAGCGCAGTCCATCTAGGACAGGTTAACAGTCTTCCAGTTGAAATGGAGCTTTACTCACCAACAGTACTTCCATCTTATCAGGACTGAGCCTGAGCTTATTGGCCCTCATCCAATCCATTTCTGAGTCCAGGCACTGATTGAGGGTAGAGACCACCACACCTGGGTCAGATGAAAACGAGAGGTAGAGCTGAGTGTCATCAGCATATTGATGCCACTTCAGCCCAAACCTCCTGATGACCACTCCCAGTGGTTTCATGTAGATGTTGAAAAGCATGGGGGATAAAATTGAATCCCGCAGAACTCCATGACATAATTGCCATGGTGCAGAGTGATAATCCCCCAGGACCACCATCTGGAGACAGTCCACCAGGTAGGAGTGGAGCCAACGCAGTGTGGTGCCTCCTACTCCCAACCCAGCAAGGATACTATGGTTGAGCAGCTATTGGTGGCGATACTCTAGTAGCCATTGGTGGCTTGGTCCTTTCTTTTTACTTCTTTTAAAACCATCTTAAACTGACCATCACTATGTCTCATGGCAGTAAATTGCATAGTGTAACTAGGCACTTCGTACTTCACCCAGTGCTGCTCTCACCTCCCCTCATCTTTGCTCATCTCTCTCAAATGCTGTAAAAAGCACAGCAATTGGATTTTAGGAAACTGTGGAGATAGTTCAGCAGTCAAGCCATCGCTGTTGTCTAGTGGCAGAACTGGGGCTTATTCAGCTTTTGTGGAGCGTGTACCTACAATTGAAATCAGATTGATAACTTGCTGCAGTTTCAGTCTGATGCTGTGTGGCAAGTTATCAATACCGATTTTTCTCTCCCTCCCTTGATTAAGCTAAGTGAGGGGTGAAGTGCAAGAGATATTTTGTCTTATCAATGTGTTACAGCAAGTCTTGGACAGAGTGAGTCGGATGACGCAGGGGGATGTACTGATGTCCATGGATCAGTTGCTGACCAAACCACATCTGGGAACCTGTCATAAATTTTACATTCAAGTGTTTCAGTTGCCTAATGGTGAGTAAAGCCAAAATAGTAAACAGTAATAATAATATGTGGCTTATACATTGGGTTTTGAAGGCTCAAAGAGCTTTGTATCTTACAGTTCTTCATCGTGGCCTCTGTGCATCACACATTATGGGTGCTGTGCCTGCGCAGTGCCTGTAGCCGGGAAAGGTTCAAAGCTTTAACGGATTTTGGCGGGAACTCCGCACCCCTCCCCCACTATACTATAAAGGGTGCAGCACCCGCCATTTTCCCCAGTCTTCTTTTGACCACTGATCGCTTTGCCTCGAGCCGTTCATTTACTCTCCCTTACTCTTCGCATGTTATCGTTGCTATTATTGTTGTTCTTGTTTGTTGATTCTTGTTGTTCTTCTTATTAAGAAATCCCTTCCAAGTTTTACTTACCTTTCCCTCCCTGTTAGGAAAATTTTCTTCCCCTTTTCCCCCTTCCTACTTCCACCAATCAATCAATCCATCAATCAATCTTTCTATAGTTCTTCTTTCTTCTTGTTCACTATCCATTCTGTTTCTCCTCGACGGCTCAGCGAGCGGTGTTTCAAAAATGTTCTAAGTGTGGGGCCAAGATGTCCCCGACGGACCCTCATGATTTGTGCCTCCTCTGCTTAGGAGAAGGGCACTGGACTGACAAATGTGGCCACTATCAAGTCATTTAACAAGCAAGCTCGGAAGTACCAGGAGAATCAACTGAGAAAAATCCTTTGGAATCAGGGCTTGATTGCCTCTGATGAGCTTGCTGCTCAGGCCTCCTCAACAGGCCCTCCTATGGTGTCTTCTCCTCACCCACCATCCGAGGGTTCCACCTCCAAGGAGACTGCCCGCTCCTCTCATTCTTTCAAAAACATAAGGAAAAGAGGAAGCATACGGGGTCTGAGGAACCCTTGGTTCCGAAAAAGCCCCAAAAGGCTAAAACCGATAAGTTGGATTGCAAGCAACGTAAGCTTGCTTAGGAGCCATGCAGAGATTTGGGCTCAACTGCTCCATTGGCCCTGATGGCTGCTTCAGTTCCAACTCCTTCTGGTCTGACTGCTCAAGCCGTCATGCAGGTCACTCTGCCTGGATCTCCTCAAAGGATCTCCTTATCGGCTCTGTCAACTCTGGACCGTTCTGAGGCTGCTGTTCATGGGTCCATGTGGGATGGCGAGATCCGGGACTTTCCTCCCCAATCTCAGGCTGGCCATCTGTCAGCGCATTCGCCTACTCCAATGCCATCATCACCTGAGGCATCTCCAAGACATCAGCCTCAATCTGACGTGCGTCATCATCAGCGTGCATCAGACCAGACTTCCAGGAGTTGGGTTCCTATGCTGTATGGCGGATTCGACCCGTCCCAATCCTATCCTTGGGACTACCCTCCACCATATGGATACTACCCCATGCCTTTGGTGTGCAAACATTGTCCTCACTCGTCTCAGGGAAATGCACCTTCAACATCAGCGGCTGCACTCTCCCAGCCTCCTTCGTCTCTGGCTGGTTTGTCTTCTTTTTTTTTTAAATAAGTTTTATTATTATTTTCTACTAATTAACAAACCTAACAGAAAAAAACCCCTAAAAAATCATCAGTCATCAAAAACATCAGACCTACTGGGTCAGCCCCCCATATTTTTTCTTTTTATGGTAATCCATAAACATATTTAAATCTATGCATGATCCCGTTTCTCTAGCCAATAGGAAAAGGAATTCCAAGTTTGATAGAAGTCTGTATCTTCTTTCTCCTTCAGAGACAAAGTCAATTTTTCCATTTTGGCACAGTTCAAGATCTTTTTTAAAATCAGTTCGTCGGTAAGTGACTCTTCACTCTTCCAATGTTGGGCAAATGCAGTCCTCGCCGCAGTAATTACGTGCAGAATCAAATACATAGCTTGATTACCAACAACATCAGGTACAATGCCTAATAAGAAAACTTCAGGTTTAAATATTAGCGGTTTTTGTAACATTCCCTCAAGCTATTTGTGTATTTTAATCCAGTATTTTTTTGCCTTATCACAGATCCACCACATACGATAAAAAGTACCTGATTTGTGTTTACATTTCCAACATCCATTTGACATATTTGGAACATCTTCGCTAACCTATTTGGTGACAAATACCATCTATAAAACATATTTTACAGGTTTTCTTTATATGAGGTTGCTAATGTTACTTTAATATTTCTTTCCCACAGGTTTGCCATTTCTTTAACTCGATATTGTATCCAAAATTTTGTGCCCATGTTATCATAGTTTCCTTAACCTGTTCATCTTCAATTCTCCTATCCAAAAGAAAGTTATACAATCTTTTAATCATTTTCTCATTTGATTTTAGAATCACGTGGTCAAATGTTGTTAGCTCCTTATAAAAACCCCACATTCTATAGTCTTTAACATATCTTGATTGCATTTGGACCTTGTGCCACCAACAGATATTAATTCCTTGCTCTTGTATTTCTTTATTCAGTTTCAGTCCATCATTATCCAAAATGTCATATCTCACAATCGTATCAAAATTCAATGCATTTGGATATGCAAGAGCTTCCATAGGTGAAAGCCATCTTGGTAATTTAATATACAGTTTTGTCTTTAACTTTTCCCACACTGACATTAACGATTTCCTAATATAATGATTTAAAAAGCAACCATGTGCCTTACACTTTTCATGCCACATATAATCGTGCCAACCCATTTGCAAATCATGCCCTTCAAGATACAAAATTCTCTTATTTCTTAAAGTTTTCCATTCTTTTAGCTATGTTAAGACAGAAGCTTGATAATACTGTGTTTCCCTGAAAATAAGACACTGTCTTATATTTTTTCCCCCCAAAAAATGCATTATGTCTTATTTTTGGGTAGATCTTATTTTTTAATGTACAAAATATACATTTAATGTACACCCTTCTGCTCTGCACCCTTCTGCTGTGCACCTTTCTGCTCTGCACTTTTCTGCTGTGCACACTTCTGCTCTGCGCTTTTCTGCTGTGCACCTTTCTGCTCTGCACTTTTCTGCTGTGCACACTTCTGCTCTGCACTTTTCTGCTGTGCATGCTTCTGCTCTGCACACCTCTGTTCTGCACTCCAGTTGCTGCCAAAAGCTGTATACACCTATCCTCTCCAGCGCCTACTACTGGTACTGTCACAGGCAGCGGAGGAAGCAGAGCAGCATGAGCTGATGCTTCCTCTATAGTGCCTGCTCCTGTGACAGGCGGTGTGCATTTGATATCACTGTGCCCTTCGCAGGAGCCAGGACTATCGACTTAAGCTGCTCTGCATCCTCCCGCTGCGCCCTCTGCACTCCGCTGCGCCCTCTGCACCCTGCTGGCACTCTGCAAGTAAGCAAAAAAAGTAAGACCTATTACCAATAATTTTTGGTAATAGGTCTTACTTTCGGGGTAGGGCTTATATTATAGGACCTACCCCGAAATAAGGCTAGGTCTTATTTTTGGGGTAGGTCCTATTTTCGGGGAAACACGGTACAACATCCAATCAGGAAGACCAAAACCCCCTTTCCCTTTAGCCTCCTGGAACATTTTTAATTTAATCCTTGGTTTCTTCTTTTTGCATACAAATCTTGAAATTTGGGTATTTAAATCATCCAAAAAATTTTGTCAATTTTTATGGGAATAGTTTGGAATAAAAACAAAAACTTTGGTAATATATTCATTTTAACTATTGCTATTCTTCCCAACAAAGATAATCGCAAATTAGCCCATTTTTCCAGGTCGTTCTTAATTTCCTTAAATAATTTATCATAGTTATCTTCTTTCAGTGTAGTACATTTAGCTGTAAGGAAAATTCCCAAATATTTAACCTTCTTAACAATTTGAAGATCTATTTGTTTCACCAGAGTTTTTCTCTGCTCCAGTGTGAGATTTTTCACTAACAGTTTCGTCTTCTCTCTGTTTATTTTCATCCCAGTAACATCGCCATATTCTTCAGTCTTTTGTAAAAGTTTGGACATTGTTACCAAGGGTTCCTCAATAATAAAAACTAAGTTGTCTGCAAATGCTTGCAGTTTGTAGCTTTCATCTCTCATTCTAGTGCCTTTAATATCCATATCTTCTCTGGTATTTCTATTTAGCACTTCTAAAATCAATATAAACAACAGTGATGATAAAGGACATCCTTGTCTTGTGCGCTTTTGAATGTCTATGCTATGGTATTTGTAAATTCTCCATTAATTATAATCCTGGGAGTCTGTTTTTGATAGATGCTTAATATTGCATTGATAAATTTTTCACCAAACTCCATTTGAACTAGTTGTTGTTTCATAAATTGCCAGTTGACATTATCAAAGGCCTTCTGTGCGTCCATAAATAATAACGCCATTGGTTTTTCAGAGTGTGCCTCATAATACTCTAAAATGTCCAAGATGATTCTCATGTTATTCCTCATTTGTCTTTTAGGTAAAAAGCCATTTTGATCTGGATGTATAAAGTCTGTTAAATACTTCTTCAGTCTTTCTGCCATTACAGAAGCAAAGTTTTTGCAATCCACATTTAATAGTGATATAGGTCTATAGTTCTGGATCTGTGTCAAGTCTGTATCTTCTTTCAGTTTTAAGGTAATATTTGCCTCTGTCTGAATATTCAGTATTTTAGCATCTAACAATACTGTGTTGCATATATCCTTAAGAGGCGTAGACAGGATTCCTTCAAAAGTTTTATAGAACTCTGCTGGTAACCCATCCGGGCCCGGGGTTTTGTCATTCTTTTGTCTCTTAATTGCCTCAGTTACTTCTGTCATTGTTACTTCTTCAATTAATGCTTTTTGGTATTTCTCCGGTAGCTTTGGTAGATTTCCCTTTCGGATATACTCATTAACTTTCTCAGTTGAAGTTTCTTTATTCTGGTACAGCTTTGCAAAGAAGTCTTCCACTATTTTCTTAATTAGTGTATTTTGTACTTAACAGTTGTCCTTCTCCATCCTTCAATTTATATATTAGTCTTTTCTCTCTCTCCTTTAATTTGTAAGCTAACCATCTCCCTGATTGATTAGCATTTTCAAAGAAGTTCTGTTTAG